GACTAAATTTACAACAAATTTGCCCCTTAATTACTTCGACTTTTCAAATACTAAGTTTATTATAATCTGAAAATTGCAAGCTGCTTGTTTGTTCATCTGCAACCTGACTCAACCTCAATGATTATTTGTTTTCGTTCTTTGCCACTGTCCTTCAGTTCAGCCCGGCTGAAATGTTAATTCTTCTAACCCAATGTCTTGCAGTCCATCTTATGCAAGACATGTTATATTCATCTTACATAGGGTTCAGAGCCACCTTAAATTCCCAAAACTTTAAGGTGGTTCTGAACCCTATGTATAGGTTTTTTTGAAAACTGCCAAAAGTTGCGTCTTATCATCCTTATTAAAATTTGATAATATAATAAAATATTGACTGTGCCGTTTTTGAATTATAAGTCCCCAAAGCTACAATTAAGGGTGTTTTTAGCAGGTCATACTATTGCTATGGTAACCTATTGTGTCACGAAAATGACAACAACGTGTTAACCAAAGATTTGGCGGTTTTTGGATACCATGATTGTAGCATCGAGTGATAAAGAGTGGTTTTAATGACCCATCAAAATCTAACTGCTGCTAACTGTTTCGAGCCACCTTAAATCTTCTATTTGGTAACGTTTTCGTTGTAGTTGTCATCGTGGTTTGCTTAATTAAGCTCCCTATTATGCTGATCGTGTCGCCAGGTCACCGCACGACACGTGGCCTTTTGAATCTTACTTGTTAGTACCGTTCGTTGTGTGTTTTGTCATCGCTTCAAACCCTTTTCAGCTGCAGCGTGCCTTACAATTAAATTAAAGACAAAAACACTCGCTTAAGTCGTTCTAACTCAGCGCTCTAAAACCACTTATCTATTATGTCTTATAGCAAGTGAAATAAGCTACACTGGTCAGTTTGTTTGTTCGGCAGGAATTTTGCACGTCGAAAATTCACCATCTTTTCTATTTTTTTCTATAACTCGTTACACGCGGGAGACAATAAAAACGTCAAGTTGACGTGGGTTTCATGCAATGACAGCTTTTTTTGTTCTTGTTGTTTTTTGTTTTTTTTCAACCAATCAATTTATATGAAACTTCCCTGACAGATGCCACCCCAACGTACCGGCATGGCCCAAACATGGATGCGTAAAATGACCAGAATGAAAACTACTAAGGTGGGGTTCATCTTAGCCTCCTACGTGGCTCGTCACGCAATCTTCTTCCAACACTATCGCGTGACGAGCCTAAAGAGCGTCTGCGTAGGAAGGGCCGGGCAACTATTTTCACTGGAGAAGGCGTTTATTATTCCAAACACCATATCAGATTGTAAAGAAGTGAAATATATGAAACATTTTGTGTCTCCAGCGTTTTAATTTGGCGCCACAAAATGGGTCGTTAGCGTCAAGCAACTTGCACATCGCTCGTCGAGTGTCGCCAGGAAGGATAATAGTTGAGTTATTGTAGCAAAACATGTCGTTCCTCGTCAAATTAAACCCAGAATTCTCGAGTTAAGTTTTAGAAGAAGCCAAAGCAGCTTTAGCAAGGTTTTTATTTTTATTACCTGCGAAGAAAAAGACTATTTTCGTGTCGTTTCGATGGGACAGCTCAGTTTATACTGCCGCTAGTATTGCGGGCGTAGCCACCGTACACAAATTGTAACATTGAACTAGGAAATAAACTCTCTACATTTTTCTAAAGTTTGCCTATCAAGTAAACGACAGCGGTCTTTTTTAGCACACTTCTCCTTCGGTCCCTTCTATATAGTCTGAGTTATTTTCTCAATAGTGGTAAGAGAACCGAGTGGAATCCAATTGGGAAAAACATCTTAAGTAATTCTAGATGGATGGGAAAAGGGAGCCATTTACGTACGTGTCCTGTGGCAGCTATCGATTTAGTCCAACAGAACAGGTGTGCCCTATTCGTGCTTTAATGGGGCCTGCTGATAACTAATCATATTCGACAATTTTATGATAGTTTTGATCATACAATAACCAATACTAGTCAGCAAAAATTTGTCCAAAACGCTTCTTTTTCCACGACTACTTAAGATTGTACCTCGCCATTAGAATTAAATCTAGTCGCAAATCGCGTGGTAAAATCATTCATTTCATGCAAAAGATTTCAGCATGCGTGTCATCATAATCTTTGACAAGGTAGCTATCAATTCTATTTAACTTCAGTTGGTAGAATTTTCTATGCCATCATAGAAAAATTGGATGCTTGAGACCTGTCCGTCAAGCTGCGGCTTCCTCTACTGCTGTGTCGAGTTACAGATGTTTCAGTAGTTTCAGACACTGTGGGGAGTGGGCTGCGGCCTTCTCTGCTGCTGCCTGGTGTTTCGGACATAATTGGTAAATCATCTTCTGGAGGTTCTCTACAAGGGGGCAGGTATCTCCTTCCAACACGGAAGGCTAATACTACCATCAGCACAGCAATGGGAACGCAAGACAAGATGTTAAGGAATATTTTGAGCCCGTCTTTTTCACCAAGGGTAATCGCAAGGCTGTTTTCGTACGGGGAACTGGCCACAGCGATGAAGGAAAGTGTGGTCAGGAGTGCCACGTCAGATTTGTTCATCCAGTCATAACTCTCCTCGTCCTCTTCGACATCACGGGCTTCCTTGTAGGGCCTCAAGATTGCAAAGATCAGCAGGATCAGGATGCAGGCCACCTCCAACAAAAGTCTTTTCACCAGACTTGCCGGCATAAATTCATAGATCACCAGGAGACCAAGCCGGCAGATAAAGTAGAAGGCCGCACACCAACGATATTGATCCTTAAAACAGCTTTGAAGTGCATCAAAGAACGGATTCCAGCGATTCAGGTTCAGGACTGGACGGAAACCTCTTGTCAGGAGCGGGGGAAATAAAAGGAACAACGGAAAGAGTACTGACACGAACACCACAAAGAGAATGGCAACAATTCCATAACAGAGATGCTTTCCACTGAAGTACTCTATCTCACCATTGACGTAAAGCACGACCCTTGATCCAACTTTGGCAAAGCGCAGAATCCTGAGAGAAATATAGGTGATGTCTGAATAACAGAGTACAAGGATGGTGCATATGCCACGAAATGGAGCTTTGACCCGTGTGCTAAAGCACCAGTTTGGAAAAGCACTCACCATCTTCGCTAGCAAGACCACAATTACTATGACGTACACCGGAATGAGGTACATTACCATGAGTTTGTCAGCATCATCAAGACCTTTGACCAAACAGAAACTGTTGCTCCCAACTTTAATTTGGCAGTTGGTTAAGGCTATGACAAATTCGCTAAAATTGTTAAATAGAAATCCATCTGGTACTAAGTATCTCATGACTTGGTAGGAGTACACCCAGGCGTTTAGGTACCCAGTAAAGACGTCAAGATCTATGAGCATGATCCCCATGACAATCAGGAGAAGAACCAGAGCAAACGGAATCAACAGTAACAAATACAAGTTCGTACATTCAGGCTTGCACCGTTCACCGCCAATAGTAACGCTATGATTTGCTTCACATTGTCCGCAGAGTATGCTCCCCTGTTTTCTACCCTGCCTGCACACTTGATCCTCATTATACAGATAGTCTTTAGCGCTTGAATCCCATGATTCGCAATAACCATCAGGGCAGACAAACGTGGAAAATGTGCCATTAACCTTTCCTGCCCAATATCCCTGTTTCACGTAAAGGTCCTTCCCATCAGGAGAACAGTGCGACACCCCTCTAGCTTGCTTGTCTTTGACGGGATTCATACATTTACATGTTCCGTTTGAAAAACTAAATCCGGCATGGCAGTTCCTTAACTTGAGATCCTCTATCACTGTACTTAAAATTTGACTTCCCTTATAGTTTAGATGCACAGAAAATTTGCTTCCTTCTTTTCCGCTTAAACTGATATCGGTAATGGTTCCATTCGCCGTTTGAAATAATGTTGACGTGGTACTGAGCTGTACTTCAGAACAAGAATTGATTGCTATATCAATAATCCCTGGGACGAGATGTTTAACTTCGTCATACAATTTAACGGTTGCAGTAAAAATCTCACCTGGGGCAACCTCCCAGTCTGTTTTTACAGACTTAATTTCTATTGGGTCTGTCGCGACTTCACCCGAAAAGTTCGTGAAATTTTCAGGCAAGTTATCAAACTTGACAAACTTCCATCTTAGCACGCTGTTGTTTTTTCGATTTTCGCCCACTTGCCAACAGTTTTTAAGTGTATTGACATACACTGACATTCCTGAGGCGTGATGGGGTGCCCTGTTATCTTTAAAGATGACCGTTATATTCCATTCATCATAATGTATGGACGAGTTGCTGTACGCAAAGAAACAGGTGTGAATGTTGAATCTTACCAGGGGAGAACCAGGGGTTTGAATGTACATTGCTCCACCTTTGTCGTGACATCTATTTGCTTCAAAGGTTGATTTTGCATTTTCGTGGAAAATAATTCTTGATCTGCCATACATTGCTATAGCGCCGCCTCTGAACCCAGTGTTGTTGATGAATTCTAACTGGTCATGAACTTCGAGGGTCGATCCATCTAAAACTAACGCAGACTTGCTATTGTTCCAAAATTTCGTGGTGCTTTTGAAGATCAGAGGCACCTCCAAACTGTAGAGAGTTCCTTGTCCTATTTTCAGTTCACCACGTTGAAGATCAGCATGATTAAACTGAAACACCGTGCCATTGTCAAAACAAACATGGTAAGGAATTTGCGGTCCGATGTGGTATTCATTACAGTTGTAAAGATACAGCCCCATGGCGGCCCCCACGTTTGCCTTGTTGCGCTGCCAAGTGGATTGCTTAAAGTGGAACTGAGTGACAGCAGGTGCTGGATGTTTGGTGTGTGCGATTGTTCTACCAAAGATGGAGGCACCACCTCCCCACAAAGCCTCGTTCCGAACAAATGAACAGTTGCTGATAATGAATTGGTTCAAAATAAGCCGCTTGTGCTTGCATTTGAGTGGCATGTTTCCAAAGCGTACTGCTCCACCGGAGAAACTTGCATTATTTCTCAGAAAGGTCGTTTCCTCCATCGTGAAGGAATTGTTTTCGGTCTTGTCTTCCATTAGTACTTGCAGACCCCCTCCCCACGAGGCACGATTATCTATGAATTTACAAGCACTGATTCCTACGTTGCATCCAGAGGCATTCCCCTTGAAGAACAATGCCAATCCTCCACCATGGCTGAAAGGACGTTCCGGCGTATTAAGATCTTTGTTTTCACTGACGTTTGACCATCTCGCTTCGTTTCTTAGAAAGTGGCAATCGATAAACAAATAGTGGTTGTTGTGTTGATAAGAGTCATGCTCGCTGGGCGTCACATTCACTGTGTTGTCGCCGTACTTGTTTAAAATAACAAAAACACCGCCTCCAGAATGCACGTACCTGGGAAGTATTTCCAGTTCGCTTCCTTCTTCTGAGATATCACTTGAAGCAGCTTTATTATCGGCAAAAGTACTGTTTGTAAAACTCACAAAGCCGCCAACATCATACAAATTAGCGCCTAATCCTGGCGAAGACGAAATTTCCATATCAGAGATCGAAAGATTTCTGCAATATCGAAAATCTAGGGCTGCCATGAATTCTGCCCCCCGAAGATCTGAATAATTTTTCCTTCCATAAGAGCTCTCAAACCATCCGCCACACTTTAGTAACTTGATTCCCTTGAAGGAAATATTCTCGCTAAGAGTAAACGAGAGGCTTGCGTTTGCATCACACGTTATGGTTACATTGTCTGGATTTGAACCCGGGCCAAACAGGCCAAACGTTGCCATTCTAGTAAAATTGTGGCTCTTTTTCATCGTGTAATTTCCGTGCTCCAACTTAATCCTTGTCGAGTTGTGACCAGAAACGCGCAAGAAAGCCTCATTCAGCGTCTTGCAAGGCTTTTCTTTAGTGCAAGGTGATGAATCGTTTCCGCTTGGTGAAACGTAGATGTCCATTCCAGCAGCTGGGGCATTCCATAGCATTAGCATAAGCAGAGATCCTACACGTAATAGAGGGAATATGTTGTATTTTTTTAGCATCTCTGCTTTTTAGAATCGCGAACAATGATTTCATGAAGAATTATATCAACACTTGATTCGGAGAAAAGCAGTGCTTCGTTTCCGAGAAAATAGAATCAAGGGATGTCGCGACATGGCATGAATATATCGTGCATTTCCTGTTTACTTGAACCTTCGGGCAATACTATTATAGATCGTTTTCACTGTCACGCAATAAAAAAATAAATCGAAAACCACTCAGTGGATAAAGTCAAGAAATTGTGATCTTAAAGAGTGCGTTCACGTGGCGTCATCAAACTCTCAAATCCAAAAATAAAGAGCCCCTGAAGGTTTGTCTCTCATCAGGTATAAGAGGTACTATTTATATCTGCTTACAACTTTCCAGCTTTGTTTGGAAACCAGCGCAGTTATTAGACCACTTTTCTCGGTTGGACCGGTCCGATTGGACCGTTCCATTTGACCATTCCGACCCATTCTCAATCCCATTTCCTTGCTGTTCACGTACAACACGGAGGAAAACACATTACAGTATTTATTGACTGTTAACAGGGGATCTATCGGTGTTACTCGTACATCCATGTGCAGTTTCAACAGGTCTGTAGCTGCTTCGCAAGCCAAGTGTATGTTTCGGCTGTTAACGGCTGGTAAAGACGATTTATTCGGCCCGAGAGAATTTGGAATGTTCTTTTCGTCATTCGAAAGTGGTGTTTGAACTCATACGGCAAATGTCTGGGAACGGTCTGCTCAAAATAACCCGTTATACTGGTCAAATTACTAGGCATGAAACAGCTCACACAATACCATTGATACCACCGTCAAAATCGTCATCTAGCTCTAATACGAGCAACAGTGATCCAACATCCTCCATTTAAACGAGCGGGAAAATCGTTTCACGAGTGGAAAGGAACGAGACCGTTCGAACCCGTTGCGATCCATTCGACACCAAGAAATTTTCGAACCTCAGCCCGGAAATTTTGGCTGAATGGATCGCGCTCATAAACACCATTGACCCCTCTGCGTTATACACACTCATAGTGATTCAGTCCTTGACGGCGAACTATCATAATTATAAATTTCGCTCGAAAAATTAATCTTGAAAACACATTTTGCGAAAGCTAAACCGAAAGCATACAAAATTTAGGATCGAAACTAACGTATTAACAAATGGTTCGCAACTCCTGAGAGGTTTGCAACACCTCGTCGGGTTTTCAATTTTGTTAAGATCTATTGTTCCTATTCTTCAGTGTTATCGAGAGACCACCTCATTTTCTCTTGCTGTTATTGATTTATTGCAGAAAAAAATCGCTCTCCTTAATTTTTTTTCAAGTAATGTTCTGATTGGTTGACTTTTTTCCGAGTGGCCAGGTTAGAGTAGTCGCACTGTAATCGGTTCATTGCGATCTGAGTCAAGATTTTTCTGATGTCAGTACCGTTAAAAAAAAAGTCTAGATTCTGAAAAGCGTGACTGAACGTCTCTCTAAAATCAACATCTCAAACCGCCGTCACTTTTACGTTTTAAGCCTGTCATTTGTTGTCGAAAGGCGCCCCATCAAATCTAACCTGACCTGTGACACTAATCCACACGATTCAATGTAACCGCTGTAATTCACAATACATACGAGAGACTGAAGGACGTTTTTGAAGACCGATTAATGAACACCGCCGTACTAATTCTAAACTACTTCAGCCGAAGAACGTTTTTTCGCCTCTCTTCACCACACTGCTAACGACACGCAATTAATCCCAATCGAAAACTGAGATCTTTTCAAACCGAGGCTCAATCTGTAAGACCAGAGAAGCGTTGATCCTGATTTTCTTAAAATCCGCGAAGAAACATATTAGTTAATCTCCCGTTATAATGTTATTTCAAGCTACAGACCTCGTTGCTTTTGGTGTGTAAATTAAGTTGTTAACGCTAATTAGATTGTATTTAAATGAAAAAAGCAGAGACGTTTGTTACAATCAAGGTCACCTCCAGCTTCATTTGCATTCCGAAAGCCAGGTAGCTGAGCACAGAAATGTAAAATTGTTGGCCTGTTACCTAGCCTTTTTACCTTAATCAGATCCTACATTTCGCACAATTCCATCTATAGGAAAGTCATACTATGAACTGCGAATTTCAAACTAGTAGTGGGATCAAGGTGATGCCATTGTAGTTGAAATGATTTCCTGACAGAAATAAAATACATAAAGGTTGTTGTTGCAGATAATGTCCAGTCGGGAGTTAATATTAGTACTTGTAAAAGGCACTGGAAAAATTCAGCGTTGTCTTTACCGAGTTCATTTCAACTCCATGTTCACTCCATACAAAACAAAATCATCCTTGCAACGATGAAAAGATTTACAGCAGTACTTCATTTTGCTAACAGAAGACAAACGCAACTCAGTAATGGCCTACTAAGTTTCAAAATTTTCAAGAGTTAGCCAAAAACGTATGAATTCCTTCATTGAGCCAAATTTTGCTCGTTAGAGGCTAAGAATGGTCAATTGAACAGAATTGTGGAGAAAAAGAGAAGTTTTGGAGAAAATTTGTACTTTTCTTTAACCAGTGTCTGGCGCAGGACCCCATATTGAAAAATATTGCCTGAGTCCCTCCTACGGTTTTTCATTGAACAAAACATACACTGGGACATATGACACACATCACATATCACACCCAAGCGTTAACTTTATTAAAGCATTTTTCAACGCGTAAAACACCAAATTTTAGTTTCCTCGAGTCTTCCTTGTGACTTCAAACTGCAAAAAAAGCAAAAGAAATACGTGATCACACAAAGAAAAACACATTAATAAAATTCTAATCACTTCAATTTATCCCCACTTCGTATTCCTTTCTCTATGAATATGTGTCGCTCTAAAGAGACGCGAGAGTAGGGTTAGGCAGATCATGAAAAGGTAAGAAAACGAGATGCTTTGTGTTAATGACCCGGGGGTGGTACTACCTATAATGGCTTATACGTCGCGGCTCCGCGCGAAAGGAGTACCTTTTTGAGGTTTCAGGTATGTCAAAGGGTAGGGATGTCACAAGTTCAGGTATATGAAAGGGTAGGGAAATCTGTCATGAAGTTATTTCAAATAGCCTTTAATTAAAATATTTCGAAAAGTCTCGCCTTACTTCTGTATTATTTCATTTATAAGGCACTACATGAAAATGAAAACTTTCGATTCTTACCTAGCGATTTATTCATAATACGGGCCACTTTGGAAGTCTGTTAAAGGGGTATCTTTTTTTTCAATTAAAGGTTTATGAAAGGGATAGCTTTCCTTTCAAAATGGTATACAAAAGGGAAAGCGATTGGACATCGGGGTGGAGCCTCTCCGTACATTACATTGTAGAGTACTCCTCCGGTTGAAGTCCGTGGTAAAACACCTGCGCTTAAGTTCTCTATTTTAAGACACAGTAGAGCAAGGTATAATCACCTATTGCACCTGGAGAGACCGTAAAAGCATCCTTGTTGCATGTTTGGTGCGGGCAAAAGATGGGAGGAACCATGTTAGACGTTAGCAACGCGTTGAACTGAGACTTTATAATTTCTTGAACGCTGGGATCATGCGCGTCACCACTGTAGTAATGCCACTGTTGAAGACCATACATTTTCAACCAAGAATGACTGGCACTGCCTGCAATAAAATTCAAAAATGACCCAAATAAATTGGTTTATGTAGCAAAACTTATTTGAACTGTGCAAGCGGCAAGGAAATGAAACAAATGCAAGGTTATTAAAAAGTTTTACATTTTGACGAGTGTGTGAGCAGCGCAATAAAGGGCCAGAACATTTCCTTCGTAACAAAAAGCGCTAGCTGGGAGACAGTGCTTATAAGTATATCGTTATCACTAGTTCGTTTCATAAAAAGGTCTATCAACATATTACAAAAAGGTCTATCAACATATCACATAATTAATCTAGCTCATGGCGGAAAGACGCTCTCGATATGGCTCCGGGAAACTGCTTATTGCCGCTCTGGCACTTTGTTTATACGCTATCACATATCGTAAGAATGAAGTTAGAGCTGTCTCCCAAATTATTGGGCTATTTTCAATCTTCTACTCAAAACATTTCTGCAGTGCTCGTCTACAACTACACGGTCGTTTTGTACGCGCAAATGGGACCAGTTCATTCCAGTTTGATCGAATCACTTTATGTGGCGACGTTCACCCTCAACCAGGACCAGCAGTTAAATTCAAATATCCATGTAAAGAGTGTCAGAGGAATGTTCGTTCAAATCAGAATGCTATCTTATGTGCTAATTGAGAAACCTGGTCGCATACAAAATTTCTCGGATTTACCAACACACAATTCAAACACTACTTGAACAATCAGCGTATCGACTGGATTTGTAACTGGTATTGCCTGCCATTTTGCAACCACTCTGATCTAGGATTTAATGCTGAATCCGATATATCAAATGATTTCGAAATATCCGCAGGATCACGAAGGAGAATATGCAAATATCTTGCCAACCGATGGACAAAGGCCACACAACAAAGCCTGCTGTAATGAAAACAATAGCTCTATTATTGACCAGAAAAAAGAGAATTCGAGCAACGCCCGCCTAATGCATCTGAAAATAAAGAGCATCCAAAGCAAATTCGAAGATCTGACTATTCTGAACAGATCTCTGAAAGCAGAAATATTGGTGATATCGGAGACTAAAATCGACCGATCCTATCCAGACAGTCAATTCAAATTGCAAGGTTACAATATGTTCCGCAAGGACATAGCGAAAGGAACAGGTGGCCTACTTGTCTATAAATCAACAACAATTCCATCAAGAAAGCTCACTCTGCCGACAGCCTACAAAACATTACAAGCTATAGCAGTTGATGTTAAAATAGGCAGGCAAGATATTTTGGTACTGTCAATTTACAGACCGCCTAATAGCTCCAAGAAAGAAAATAAAATCTGCGGAAACTACCTACAAAGAGTCGAGAGTGAATTAAACAGCATCTGTCAATGGGCGTGTTTCAAAAAGAAACCTGTTATTGTTGTTGGTGATTTAAATCTAGACAGACTACGGTTAGATCGTAGCGAGGGGAAAATCCTGAGGGACCTAGAAGAAGTCAATGACCTACACTGCCTTATAAATGAACCAACAAGGGTCACAGCAAACTCGCAGACACTCATTGATGTAATGTTTACAAATAACCCTAATCTCTTCAGGAACTGCGGCGTATACAACCCCGAGATCAGTGATCACACTATGATTTATGGCGAAATGACAGAAAAGGTTAAAAAACCGACAACCAAGACTCTAGTCCACCGACAAACTAAAACTACTGACTTTGACAACTTTAACAAGGATCTACTTGATGCTCCATGGCATGTTGGTGAAATCTTTGATGATTTAGATGATGCTTATGACTATAGAGCGTTTTCACATGACGTCACAAATTTCGCGGGAAATTTGAGTCTCCATGTTGGTGTTCCATATTTTTCAAGATGGCGGCAAATCCCCTTAGCGATTATGCGAACAACTTCGGTCCCCACGTGAAGAAACGTTACTATGAAAAGATTTCTTGCGTTGGTATCGATCCCATTTTAATTCCAGACAAAACGTATGATCCAAACTGTTTGCCACGGGTCGAATCCATGGATTTGCTATCCTTTTTAGTGCTTGGGACAAGCTACTACAGCAAGGATCAATTTAAAGCTTTTCAGAGTTTGCGAGCGTATAATCAGCTCGTTTCAGAGTTTGTGGGCTGCGTGAAAGGGCACAAAATAGGAAACAACTACATTGTTCTCGGAAAAGTCAGGCATTCACAGAGAATGAACGATCCGTGTGATACATTTTGGATTATAACCGAGGAAAATGGTACTGTTCTTTTCGCACACTGCGTTGGATGTAGGGCAGGACAAGGAGAGTGCTGCTCGCATATTGCGAGCGTCCTCTTCTACATTGAAGCATGGAATCGTGTGAACGAAAAGCTGTCATGTACACGGGTGAAATGTAGCTGTTTGATGCCAACGGNATTTTTAAATGGTGCTTCCCAAATCCCACCAGCCCCCCCTCCCTCATAAAAAATGAACGGTCCCCTATAGTAATTCTTCATTTCAATTCAAACATATAAATACAAAAGACGTACAAGATTTGTTTGAAAACCTCAATCCTAGAAAATCTTGTAGTGACACTGGACTAATGCCAAAATTAATGAAGAAAGTTGCAGAGGGCATTGCACCATCAGTAACGAATCTTTACAACAGATGTATTGAAATTAGTAACTGGCCGGCTATATGGAAAAGGGGAGAACTCACTCCTATTTTCAAGAAAGGGGACAAGCATGATGTGGAACATTATCGACCTATCACGACGCTTTCGATTATTGACAAGGTTTTCGAATCACTGCTTAGCAAACAAATAACCCATTATTTTGGCCCTACCCTATCTCTAAGATTGACAGCATACAGAAAGAATCACAGTTGTGCAACCACACTAGTAAGATTCACAGAGGACTGGAAACACGCTATCGACAGAAAAGAATTAGTGACCATTCTATCTGCAGACATGAGTAAGGCTTTTGACTCTCTATGTCACAACTTAGTCATCAAGAAGCTCAAAGCATATGGGTTTACTAGTCAATCATTGGATCTAATTCGATCGTTTCTGAATGACAGATACAGTCGTGTAAAACTTGGCACCATTAGAAGTGACTGGTCTAAAATGTCACGAGGTTGTCCTCGGGAATCGTCATTTGATCTATTATCATGGAACTTATTCCGGAATGACCTTGTTGGTTAAAGACACAAACCTTTTCATGTATGCTGACGACCATCAGCTATATGTAACAGGGTCGGACTACAACATCGCATCTTCCAGGCTACAATATCAAGGAAAGTTAGCCATGTCAAGGTACAGAGATAACTTTCTACTCGCCAACACAGAGAGCTTTCAATGTCTTACTATTAATCCAAGAAACATTGAACCAGATAAACAGACTGAAGTCCTGCAGATTGAAGATCAGATCATTACCAACACTTCGCAAATCAAATAACTTGGAGTTTAAATTGATGACAAGCTTAATTTTACCAGCCATATCAGTAACATTTGCATAAAAGCAAGTCAAAACGTTGGTGTCCTATTGAGAATGCGCAATTTGATACCATGCAAAGTAAAACTGATAATCTACAAATCATCCATCCTACCTCACTTAACATATTACCATCTGGTATGGCATAACTGCTGATCTTCTGACAGCAGAAAAATAGAGCGGATTCAAGAACGCGCACTTAGAGCAGTATTTAAGTCCCATTCAGAATCATACGAAACCCTTCTGGTTCGTGCAGAGCTACCTTCACTACTAAATCGAAGACTACGAGATATCGCTATATTAATGTACAAAGTAAAATATGGCCTCGTACCAAGTATTGCTGACGAACTGTTTAAGCAGAAACGCGCTAGTTATTCATTAAGAAACAGTGATTTTGATATTCCTACTTTTTACACTATTAACTATGGAAAACATTCTATTAGATATCAAGGACCTCATATATGGTCGATACTAAATAATAAATTGAAAGGCTCCTCGAATATTGAATCTTTTAAAAAGAATAGTAGGAAAAAGACCTAACGTCACTCTTAAACTACAACAATAGCTGTTGTAACCTTTGCAATTCTTAGAAAGTACCTGTTATATACCTATTGTTTTGTTGCACAATTTATACATGCTACATATTTTAACTGTATATACATTTTTATTATTATTCCTGATTTGTAAATAATTTTAATTTTTTTTGTTGTGTCCCCAATTAGTTGTGAAAACTAAATACATTGACACATTAATAAAGCTTTTACTTACTTACTTACTTNTACTTACTTACTTACTAACTTACTTACTTACTTACTTACTTACTTACTTATTAACTTACTTACTTAACATCACCATCATCATCGTCATTATCATCATCAAGCTTTTATGCAACTTTATATTTGATCTCTAAGTAGCATAAGTACTCGTATTATATAGAAAGTAGTGTAAGTAAGTAATAGTAATTGAACCGAGTGGAGTACAATTCAGGGAGTAATCGCGCGAGGTCGATTTGAAATATTTAATTACGAGCGCGAATACTCCCTGAATTGTACGACACGAGGTCCAATTACTAATTAATCGTATCTATAACAAATTTCGGAATAAAAAATGTCTTTTGAAAACTTTTTTTGAGCGAAAACGTATGTAGCGCGTTTCATAAGTTTTGAAAACTGTAGGAAGCGTTGCAAAGAAAAGCCATTAAAGCGCGAGCAATTGACGTGCGAATCCCATGGGTGTCCAATTACAAAAAGTTCAAATTGGATACCTGTAATTGGACACCCAAATGATCGCGCGCCTATTGCGTGGCAAACAGACGCGCAGAAAACCAATCACGATCAAGAATTTCGTTGTAGATACGATTAGTATCGTAAGTAGAATAAGTAATCGTATTGTGTTGTAGAGCAAGTTATGCAAATTGTAGTATTCTAAAGGAAGTGGTCAAAACTATATCACATGCTAGGGACCCACTTTTTGGAGGGAGGGCTATATAAGAGGCCATGGGTCTCCTTAGGGAGGTGGAGGGCTACTTTAGAGGCCATGGGTCTCCTGAGGGAGTGGGGGGCTACTTAAGAGACCATGGATCTCCTAACGGAGGTGGGGGCTAGGTAAGAGGCCACGTGTCTCCTGACAGAGGTGGGGGGAGGAGGGAGTCTGGACTCTATCCTATTGTATATTGCAAGCTCTATTGCGATTGATATTCATTCGCCTTCATCAATTCATTCAATTCGGTCATGCTAAAAACTTACCCTAACCCTAAAATTGATCCTAATTGTCTTCTATGGGCATTTAGAAGGGACAGGGTTTCATTGGAGCAATAAGGTTCTACATGTTAGACTAAAACTTTCTCTGTCAGAATGAGTGACTGAATATTATTATCCTGAGTGAATATTACTTTTGTTATTAATTATTTTATTATTAATTATTTTACAATGCAATACAAATTTTATTGTTAACTCCCCATGGGGGCTTTTCCCCCCGGGCCCCTCCCCTAGATCGGTTGTAAATTGTGTAAGTAGCCGTACCAGTGTTGTAAGTAGTGTGAATGACGATTAAAATGTTAAAAAAAAACAATTTATCTTTGATCGATCTGCTTATCTTACCAGAGCAGTTAGGCCAGGGAGCGTTCTGCACTTGAACGCTAGGAAATGCCCAATAGTTCCATTTTCCTCCCGAGCATAAGTATACCAAAGGCGGGTTGAACTCAAAGTCTGCGCCATTGTTACAAAACGCGGAACAAACGGGATGACCAGTGGCAGTATCGCATACCAGGGCTCCATTCCGGGGAGGGGGAAACATTGTGCACGTTTTGACTAGTAAATAAATCAATGAAAGCACACTGTTAGATTACTTTAGTTCGTCGGTTCTGGCCCATCCTTTAGCGCCCGTGTAAATCGACATACAAGTAGACGACTTATGTGATGACCATGACATGCACCTTTTTAAAATACTAAACTAGGGTGGTGAATGCTAAATACGAGACTTTGTGAGAAGGCGAAATTGGTGTAAATGCGACCGTGAGACGTCCAGACTCTAACAAGCTCTAATTCAGATGTCATTTGTAAAACGAAACAAAAAAATTGGTTCTTCAAAACTTTCTTAGTATTGCAAAAACTAGAGACTCCGAGACAGCTTTATGGAAAATCGAGAATGCGAGACGCACATACCCACCAAAAAACAAGTCTACGAGAACCTTGAAATTCGACGAAAATTTTGCGAGACCCACGGTTTTTGAAGGACCATTCATTCCCCCCTGGATGGGATACTAGTCAATCGCAGGTTACTCTCCAGCTTTCTGTCAGGTTAACCCACTACTCATCTATACCCCAAGAGTCTTGCCCAAAAGCAGGAGGCAATAATCCCGGTGAGGTCTCGAGCCCGGGCCGCTCGATCCGAACTGAGTCCAACGCACAAAATATTAGGGAACCGCAGCTCGGTGGTAGGGGCCGGAAGTAAGTCATAACTTTAATGCAACATACCTGTCAAAATTACTTTAAATGAGCAATTGTTGTTGACGTTATTATCGTGATCGCGAACTGTGTACTGAACAAGGGTTGTACTCGGAACATCAAACAGGGCACCACTCTGTCTGTTTGATTCGATAATGAGGAGTTCACCCGAGTTGTCGGAGCAAATCGGCCTTTTCCAGGAAACTCTCAATCGTGAAGTCGTTACTTCTTGAACTATGTCCGCTGGACAGAAGCTGCATGATGGCGGCTCAGTGTCTGATGAGGAAATAAAACACAACAGGGATCACTTAAATAAAACAGTTGGAGCGATCTGCGTCCATGACTAAAATTTAAAAAAGGAGTTTGAAACAGATCTAAAAATAGTTAAAACTGAATTTTCCACCGCCTTGTGCGATCCTTCTTCAGAGAAATGTACTCCGCAAGAGCCACAGAATGCAAATATGTAGCCAAGACGTCATTGTTAGACTGCGAGCAGTCTCTCTCTTCCTCGAAAATCCTTGGGGTACAACGCAAATCAAGAAAGCGTGCGAGCATGACTGTGAACCTGACGTACGAGCGGCGAGCGGCGACGTCGCGAGTCGCTAGTAGCGCGGGCGTCGGAAGACGAGCGAAAAGAGAGACTGCAATGGTTTTATACAACATTTTGGATGCTACTTTGATAAGTTGCATCAATGACACCTCCACCCTGTTTTGAATATGATACTCCAGTGTCTAATTTTTCACGCGAATCTATCGAAGCTATATCCTGTAAGATGTGATGAATGGTTCGACAGATTGCAGCTAAAACCAGGCCTATGACCTCCTCCAAAACTGTGAAGGCTGCTTTTGAATTGCTCAGGGCAGTTAAGAGAGGGTAAGAGGTGAGAGAGTTAATCCCCTTATAGACCTTATTCTAAGTTAAGGTAATCCCTCAAAAGGTTTTTCTACTGTATGGCATTTAGTCCCTCCGCGGTTACCGTGTGGCACAAAATTTTTGCTCGGGGTTTAATTCTGTGAATCGGCGATATTTTGCATTTTGTGGGAACTAATTTTTTGCAATTGTGAAAGACAGTTAGGCATTGTTTTCAGGAAGTCGCGTTCAATTGGAGGTACAATATAGAGTGTTTTCACTTACATAGCCAGCAGCCTTGCAAATCTATTGAAACAAAAGGAAGTGTTTACATGAGATGATAGAGTTCAATTCCCACAAGATTGGTTTGGCACACCAACATGGCTGCCGTTTCATTGTTTTGGAACACCAATATGGCTGTAGTGACGTCATGTGAAAACGCTCTATATACATTTTTAGATAAAACTAAATGCAATCGACAAATGAAACAACATCAAGATATGTAAAATAGTGGTAAACAGTGTTAACATGGCCATCACACTGACATCTTGCCCTAGTGTGGCTGAGTGCTCAGGCAACGGATCAGCAAATTAAAAACTAGGGTATCACTGATGCATATCCCTCGAGGTTTGCTTCTGAATGAAAGAGATCTTTTTAAATACATGGCACCGAGACTTCTTCATGTGATATTTGTATAATTTCGCCAGTGGAGTAAATTTTTGCGGAGAAAATTTAATTTGTGGATTGTGGAAAAAAAAAACTCGAAATTTAGAACCCGCAAAAATGAAGTGTCATATAGATATTGCCCCGCGCAGAGGTATTTATGTTTTCCTGCTGTCCACGCGAGTAAAATTCGCGTCACAGGATTGGCTATTCAGTTCTAGATCCATCGTGGATGATATCTGAAGCTTAAGAATAATAATCCTATGTAAGGCCAATATTGGGGACGAATCAACATGTTCTCTTAAGCTTGGCTCACCTGACACTAACATAAGACATAAGAAGAAAGAAAGACATAAGAACGTTATGTCGTTATGAACATCCTAACATATAACGACAAAATAGCAACATAATGACCTGAACGTAACGTCATGAGGATAAAAACTGATCTCGTTGCGTCGATGTTCACATTACCAAGGCGATTAAGGCGATAACGTCGTTATACAAGTGAATACGTGAAAGATCATATATTTGAACTGCGGAGAAAGATATGCAGATATCATTCACGACTGCTTAAGTTCTGTGTAAAACTGCGATGATCAATCATGTCTTCATTATGACGTTATGTTGTTATGTCGCTAGCGTGAAAATTAAACCAGTATTGTATTGTATTACATTGCATTGCATTGCATTGCACTACACTGTACTTTACTGTACTGTATTGCATTGCATTGTATTGTATTGTATTGTATTGTATTGTATTGTATTGTATTGTATTGTATTGCATTGTATTGTATTGTAGACCTCACCCTTTACCCTCTCAAGATCTTGGTGTAGATTAATATTAATCGTGTCAATTAATTACCTCTGACTTTAACAAAAAAGGAGCATACTGCGTTGTTCCCTGCGTCATCAGTTGCATTTACTCTAATAACAGTATCACCAATAGGAAGCTCTTGTCCGGACTCGTGACTTGATCGTACCCGGATCACAGCATTTGGATCCACTTCAACTGAATTGTCAGTTACTTGAATGCTCCATAACACGTTTGCTGTGGCCTTTCCCTTTGGAGTGGTTGTTTGTATATCATGCGGGCAAGTCATCTTTGGAGGGTCAAAATCTACACGACGATTGGTTTATAAAGAGAATATGATATTCGTTTCAGTGGTTTGTATCTCACGTAACCGTTTTCCTCAGTGACATACATTCTATACTTGATATGAAGAAATGTAAAAACAATTTATCATTCTATTTAAACAAATATATTGTTATACTTTTTAATCAAGCGCGAGGGGCGTTCTGGGAGAATAATAGGGCTAAGGTCTTGGCAGCACGGACTGAGCTCAGCGAGGTCCGTACAAAAAATGTTCCTGGCCGATATTCTCCCGGTAAGGTCCGGAGTAAGCTTGGTTAATAAGAGATCTTTTACACGACCGAACATGATTAGAAAAAATGCTAAGGTCACGGACTGGAAAAACATCTCGAGCTTTTAAGGTATCATTCTGATTGTGAGCCAAACGGGCGTATACTCACTTCTTATGTTAAACAAAACAGAACGGAAAGATTGTGGGCAGAAAAAGAAAAGTAATCTTTTGCATGAAAGCAAGTTCTTTCAGAAACGTAAGCCATAAAGCTACCAGGAAATCTTCAGGAGTAGTCGTGCGGGACCTTTTGGAACAGTGGCGCCCGATCCAAAACTCAGAGAATACCTGACCGGCAATGAAGCAATTTGATTGGCTGATTTTAATTATTGGCCCTTAAATTAGGTTAGTGGTGTAATAAATAGACGCTTGTCAGGAAAAGAAGAGAAAAGGCTTCAATACGGTCCCTAAAAGATCTCTTAAGCTATCGTCCAATGTCTGTGTTGTGCTTCAAGTATCGTTGTGCAAATTGGCCGTGAATGAATTGCAACACAAATACTATATCCCGATTGACTTACCCACTTTTAATCTATTCATTAGTGATAAACATTTAGCTGCAGTAAGTTAGTCGAGCTAGGAGTGTCCACTTACAGCCATTGAGATTCTAACTAAACTCACCCGAAAAAAAAAAAAAATTTTGGAAGATAGCCTTGAGGTCAAGTGTCGCAACACAAAGGTTGTGTAAATGTCCTTGTAGTAATCTCTCTCAATATGAAATGAGGAACCTACCCTGACATGTCGGAATGCTTTCGCTCCATGTCTCATTAAGCAGACAAACTAAAGTGCGCCTTGATGGGGGATTGCCTTGTATATTATATCCTGAAGGACAGCGGACGTGACAGTACGAGGACGCGGGCACCGGTCCAGTAGCACAAAAAGCAGGTCTTACTGCTACACCGGCTTGGACTATCTGAAGTTTGGGACAGGAAATTTCTGCAAGTGACAAATATTGTTGTTTAAAATAAGTCCGTGGACTGTGTGGCATAGTCTGGATAGTTTAAAAATTATATATTGAAAATAAAAATTATGTCAAAAAGTGAAATCATTAAGAGACGTTTCGACCTTCGGCCTTCGTCCTTCGTCACTGATAAGTAATAATTTCTGAACGTATTTCGTTGTTGTTGCTCATTTTGATATGTTGAATATGCGCATTAACTGTAGAGCCCTATTTCAAAACAACTTATTTTTTTCTCAAGCGGACAGAATCAAAACAAAAAGAAATGCTCCCAGAGCATTTCGGTTTACACAGAGTTTTTAGAGGTTATTCACGTGATAAGTCGTTATTGCAGTGACGTTACTATATATTACCATTCCATGGAGAACACAGCCAATCAGAGTACGGGAAAGCCGTTGTATACTCGTCGGTATTATGCCCAACCTTCAACCAACCATTGAGCAACGTTTGGCTTTTGGAGCAACTATTTGCGGTCTTAGCATCCTCGAGGAAGTTTTGCCTTTCTGAACAACTTTTAAGCAAAATATACGTTTAGAGCGCATATCAAGCCAAAAAAGTCAACAATTTTATGTGGATTTCTTGAATGTTTATCACGATCAACCTTTTGAAGTTTGAACACATAACCTGTCACTTGACCACAATTCGTAGGCCTATTGTTTTGTTCCGTTAGTTTTAAGAGTATCCTAAATTAAATTTCGACCATATTTGCGAGCAACTCTTTATAGCTAAGTTTCTATTTTTCTTGACCGATATTAAGCAGTTGTTGTGGAGAACGATAAATAAAGCTTTTAATTAACGTTTTTATAAAAAAAAAATCAAGAAATTTAGGTGGCAACTTTTCAAATTTAGGTAGCAACTTTTTGGATTTTGGTACTTTGTTAGCCACTTTTTGTCGTTCCATTGAGCAACTTTCCAGCATTTTACGAACACAATCGGGACAGGCCTATATATTTTTACGTGTATACATACGTTCACAGATTGTAAGGCTTCCAGACCAGGATTTATCGAGTTGACAAACACGCTCCTTGGAACCCTTCAAACGGTATCCGGTCCGACATGTAAAGGTACAACGAGTGGTGTACCCAAGCGACGGAAGATTACATTCTCCGGAAGGAGGATCTGCATTCGCTACAACCAAAAAAGGGCAACGAATTTCTAGAAATTGAAATAAAATATCAACACGTTATGATAACCTTGAAACAAGACTTCCGGCTTGGTTTCAACCGAAGTTTTCAATCATTATGTTCTATCGTTATTTATAATAAAGTTTCCATATAACGCACGCTCTGATTGGCTGAAACAGCGTGCTTTATCAGAGAACAGAGCACTGGTTGATGACGGTGAGTTGGCTTCCAAATTTTTGCTTCGGAATTTTGACAAATTTGACCCAAATTAAACATCCCCTGTGACTCAGACAAACGCAGTGGAAGTGAGCTAT